AAATAGTGAGAAAAAAAAAAAATAGAAAAAAAAAAAAAATTACTTTGTTGTCTTCCTCCCGATAGAGGAAATTCTCGTGATGTGCAACCACCGTTCCAAGGTTGCTAATCACTCTCTCTCTCTCTCTCTCTCTTTGTTACGGATTTTATAATAGGAGGGAGAGGAAAGGAAGATCTCTCGTTGTTATGAGAAGAGTAAATATCTCGTGTAAAGTAATACGAATTCGTTTCTTTTTTCATTTAGAAAAAATTCGTATTGTGGTCGAAATGGCAACGGATTGGGAATTGATGCAATCCTGGCAAAGGTTTACTGGTTCGCTTGTTGAAGAAATTCAATGGAGTTGGAGAGAGAGAGAGAGGGGGGAAGGGAGGGAGAGAGAGATCTTAATCAACGCGAAATTAATTTCTTTTTGTGGTGTGATTTTGAAGCTGGAATAATCCATGTTGGTATATAAATTTGTTATTGTAGGTCGGAAGAATGATATTAAGAAAATTTGAGGCGATTATTTGTGAATTTTAATTTCGCTCGTCAAGAAGAGTGAAAGCCTCTCTTAACTTTTGTTCGATTAAATTTGTACGTTTTACGCGGCGGCCAATATTTTCAGAAACTATTTCCTGTAACGACAGTATATAATAACAAGAAACAACAATGTAGGATCGAAATATTCAAACTGTATCGCGCGAAGTATTTTAATTACGTTTCTATGTTTAATCATTCGACTTCAAGGTATTAAACTATTTTCAATTTGTTGTTGTTGTTGTTGTTGTTGTTGTTGCGGGGTGAAAATTTTCAAAATGTTTCGAAACGTTTTTGCGTCAATAACATTTGCGCATTATGTTACGAAAATAAGGAAAATAGAATAAGAAGAGAAGGTTAATAATAAATTTTACGTGTCTCGAAGTATATCGTAATTTCTTTGAAAATTATAAAAATATCGCGTAAAAGAGGATATATATAAAAAAAAAAAATCGAAAACTTGTAAGATTTTTCTTATAAACACGTCGTTTCAACTTCGTGACCCTGATCGCTATGAAGGCACGATTGGCAGTGGCACGTATTGTTCGATTAATGACAACCAAACCATGCGGTGGCATCGACTTGGCACACTTCCGATTTTATCGTCCCGGCGACGATCACGTTTCTCTATAAATTTCTGAATATCGGAATTGGCATTGTTCCGGAACCCAGTAATTGTTACACTTTACACAAAACTGACAAAACTGAAAAATAAAATCTATGATACGTCGTTTCCTTGTACATTATTCCTTATCGTTCTCCTCGCATATTTAGCATATTTTTCAATTTTCCTTTAATCTTTTTAGATTTCATTAAAATATATGGAACACTTTTTCAATGCTTATGCAAAAAAAAATACATATGTTTAGTAACAATTTGTGTTCTATGAATTTTATCGTAAAAAAAAAAATAAATAAATAAATTGAAACGCTAAAATACAATTTAAAAATTTTTTTTAAAAATTTAAAAATTGTTAATCGATTAAAAAATTAGATAATTAATATTAAAGTATGTGTTTCAATGATATTTCACCTCATAATTAGTAAAAATAAATTTTATCTCAACAAGTAAAGACAAAATGAGATGAATAAATGAGAAAGATTGAATCATGGAATATTTACATCGAAAGGGGGGATGAGAGAATATATGAAATTCAGATAAATAAAAGAAGAAAACGGTATCGGATGGATCAATATTTAATTACAAGGATCATATCCCGAAAGATTGAACACGCTAAACTAATTACAAGTATATATGTATAAGCTGAAACACCATCGTTCGTGTGGAAATCTAATTTTATTGTCATTAAATTAGCGCACACACCACGGACAAATTTGGATGAAACAAGCGCTTTAATGTACGGCTTGTTCGACGTCGTGGTGGTTTCGATAAATCGGTTACAGAAGACGAAAATCGTATCTCGTGTATTCAAATTGGATATTTTCGTCCTGTTCGTCTCACGGTCACGCAGAAAATAATTATCGAATGGCGACCGTGACTTCATTCGACAAAAGATTCGACGATCTTTAATTAATCATCGTGGATGGAATTTTTAGAATAAAATTTCGTTTCACGCGTCGTTCAAAGCGCATTTCTCTTGGAAAATTTAATTATCGAATTGAGGAATATTATCAGTATGTTGTAATTGTATACATTTCTTATTAAATTTTTAAATTCTCTAAAAATGTTGAATTTTGACGAAGTGAAAGGAATTTTCGAAGAAAAAAAAAAAAATCTTCATTTGATAATTAAATCAATGCGGAATAATCGTATTTGCGTATTAATAACCAGCAAAATGGCGATTAATGGTTATTGCATAATCATTGTGCGCGGTTCACGTTTTCATTACACGTGCTATCGAAAAATCCTATATGTCACTGGCTACACGAGTTGCGCTATGACAAGCGCATTTCATCGAAGCGATGATATTAAAACGAGAGATTTTAATAATGATCGAAGCAATGCAATTTGTAACGAGACTTTATATTTTAAATTACAATTTTTATTTTAATTTAATATTATAATATTAAAATAATTTAAACGGGTATAAGATTTTTTTTTTATATACTTTCTTTCGTTTTTAATGCTTCTTTATATTCCTAATCTTTTTTTATAAAACATAAAAAATTGTAAAAATTCAAATATACTAATTGACCATTAAATCGATTATTTAAATTTAACTAACGAATATTTTTGTTAACATTCTTAAGTATTATTAAGTTTTGTGAAATAACTATTTTTTTCTTTTAAATCCTTCTATTTTAGCAAAAAAAAAATTGATCTTGTAACAGAACTTGTAAAAATAGTTTCGAACGAGAGAAGATCACTTTACGGGAAATTTATGGTTTCCCGTGTAAGTCTTTGCGGAAACAGGTTCACCGTGGGAGTTTCGAAACCGAGAAAATTTTCTGGTATCATTACACGTAGCAAGTTTTATACGCAGCCAAAGAGTAGAGAAGCGAACCGCTTTGGGATACGTTTCATAACACAAAGTTTGACGCCATTGGGGACTTCCTTCCGTACCGGCAAACATTCGGGATACCAATTTAATTATTCACTTAGGGAATTTCCCTGCTTTTTCATTTCCCACCCGTTTTCTCGATTCGCGAAAGTACGAATCATATTTATGTATCACGATTCAATTTATTGATCGATCGCCAATAAAGAAATTAATGATATTTGTAATCCGCGATGGACGATTCGTCGTACCGCCATTTTGAAATTCGGTAGAATCGCAAATTTTCGGCGTAGAACGCGCGATGTTGAAAATTTTTCGTTTGTTTTAAAAAAATTTCAATCTGAAAAAATTTGGTCGACTTTTCAATATTTTTATACAATTTTCCAATTTAAAATCGAGTTTCAATGAAGAAATTTTAAAAAATTTATTATTTAAAATATATATATATTAATTGTAATCTGCAAAAGAATGAAATTCTTTTAATAAAAAATTCTAAAAATAAAAATTTTTGAAGAAGAATTTTTTGTTCAAGTTTTTTTCATCGAATTTTTGCGTACGTTACAAATATCGAAAATATAGTTTAATATAGAACAATATTAAATGGTGGTTTTTATAAATTTTTACAAATTTGTATAAAGATTGAAATAGAAAGATTCTGTCTTCCGTTTTCTTCTTTTTCATATGTACCTTCCATCTACTTTTTACTTTTCGTTTCATCAAAAAATGAAAATACAAATTCATAGGTTATTTGAAACTTATCGCAGTGTAAATGTTTCTTCTCGTTTAATTAAAAATACTCGTATAGCGACATATGGTATTTCTTTCGTATTTTTCATTGAATAAATAAACGGAACGTACACACGTTATATCACGTTAAATAAGAGATAAAATAATTCTGTACAAAAGTATAAAATATAAATACATTTTTCATAAATGCATAAATATCCACCAACCGTAACGAATTAAATAATAACATACACATATACACGCGCGCACACACACGTGGCATTTGTATCCGCTTTTTCATTATTAAAAAGCATTCATAATTATAAATCGTCTCGTGTCCAAAGAGCGATCAATTCCAATAATAACACCCGTTATAATTTACCATGAGTCTCGGCGCCAAGCCTCGTAAGGGCCTGTCCCTCCCTGCACCAAACTCTGAGCATACATTTCAGCAGCTCCTCCAAGGCTCTCTTCAAGGACGCATCCTCTCCAACCTCCGTGGAACTCTCGGAGACAGTGCAATCGCACACCATCTCGATCCACGCGACGACTTTCAAACCACTGCTGCTACTATCGAAACTTCGTTTACAACTTCCGCTTTAACCACCTCTAATCTCACGATTACTTTATCCGCACGACTTCAAAAAAAAAAAAAAGAAAAAAATTATTAATCCTCTTCTCGTTCCTCGAAAAGAAAAGAAAAGAAAGATTCGAACGAGAAGACACTTCCAAAATCACTCGTCACGCGATTTATAAACCAAACGTTTGCAACTTCCGGTTCTCTCTTCTTATCGCTCAGCGAAAAAATTCAAAGATCTCTCGGAGATCTTCTTCTATCGGATTCTTTCGAAGTT